TGAAGTATTACATATATCTACCCCCCCGCTCTGCACCAACCCCTCCCTGGCCACTCCCACCCCCCAGGACAAGCCCCCACCGTCTTCTTTTAAACCCTGCTTTTCATTAAGAGAGCACTTTGAAACTGAGCTACCTAGGGAAAAAATGAAATCAAGACATTACAGCAAAAGCACCCACACCTAGAAGATAGGGCTAACCTTTGGTGCTTTTTGGAATGATCTGACTCCATCGTGGCTTATATTCCTGTTGACTGATGTACTGATTGAACAATCCATCTGCAATAGCAAAGAATAAGAGAGAATTACAACTTAACCAGCTTACACTTTTTATTACAGCAAAAAAGACAAAAATGTAGAAGCCTACATTAAGGGAAATTATTAATATATCGTTATTAGCACATTTTCATAAACTATATCACTGCAGTTTTCATGCTACCTCAAATATAAAAAGTATTGTTTGAGCCCTAACCAGTTTGGCTCAGTGGATAGAGTGTCAACCTGTGGACTGAAAGGCCCCAGGTTCGATTCAGGTCAAGGGCACGTACCTTGGCTGTGGGCACATCCCCGGTAGGGAGTGTACAGGAGGCAGCTGATCAATGTTTTTCTCTCATCGATGTTTCTAACTCTCTATCCCTCTCCCTTCCTCTCTGTAAAAAAATCAATAAAATATATATATTTTTTTATAAAGTACTGGTTGACAAAACCATGTAAAGAAATTGTCTTGACTAGAAGAAGCAGAGGACCGAATTAGTGAATTCACATCCCCGAGGGAGTGTACAGGAGGCAGCTGATCAATGTTTTTCTCTCATCGATGTTTCTAACTCTCTATCCCTCTCCCTTCCTCTCTGTAAAAAAATCAATAAAATATATATATTTTTTTATAAAGTACTGGTTGACACAACCATGTAAAGAAATTGTCTTGACTAGAAGAAGCAGAGGACCGAATTAGTGAATTAGAAGATAAGGCAGAGAAACAAGCTCAATCTGAACAGCAACTGGAGAAAAAAATTAAAAAGCAGGAGCA